AAACCCATAGCCCCAGTCTAATGATGACAAAAACATCAGACGGATCCCAACTGAGGGACACTGGACAAAATATCTGACCAGTCCTCCTCAAGGCTGTCAGAGTCGCCACACACAAGGGAGGCCTGAGAAACTCAACAGCAAGGGCCTGGGGACCCACGAGGACTAAGTGCCCTGCAGGGCCTGGATGGGGTCCTGGGCAGGGAGAGCTCAGGGAGGAGGAGGAAGGATGGACTCAAGTTAAGATGTGCATTGCTGGCAGTCATCAACTGTACCAAACGCTCCGCAGTGGTGAAGACGTCAGAGACGGGCAAAGGGTGGTGGGCACACAGGGACTCTGAACCATCTTTACCGTTTTCCTGTAAATCTAAAACCATTCTCAAGCAGCTTACTTTGAAAAATCAATGAAAAAAGGCAGGACAGCTGTACACGTGTTAACCAGTTTAAAAACAGAAACCCTGCAACCCAGGCAGGCTGCATCTCGACAAGGCCCGAGGCCTGGCACCGGGCGTGTGTCTCGAGGGAGGCAGGCCTCCGAAAGGGGACGGAGAGCAGGCGGGCAGGTCGCAGGAGCAGGTTCTGCGCTCACCTGGCATCTCCTGGGAACTCAGTCACACAGAAGCACATGCTAAACTCTCATCGTGCTCATGCTGCTCCCTCAAATGTCGACCACTCTGGAACAAACTCCCGTTTTCAAAACAAGTGTCATAGCAGGAGAGACTGCTTCACAGAAGAAATCAATCAAACCTGACAGGCCAGACACCACTTCTCCCTCACCACACTGGCCAGGAGGACAAAGTCAGAAGACACGGGGTGCTGGTGAGAACGCAGACTTGCTCGTCCACTGTGAGGCTGCCCCGCCCGAGTGAGTGGAATGTCCACATTCCCAGCCTCTGCGCCAGGCGACGGGGTGACAGCAGGCAGGGCCGGGGGAACACAGCTGTAGAAAGCCTGCCTGGTGCGCCCCCTTCCAGGGGCCAGCATCCCCTCTGACCACCCAGGGAATCCCTCAGGCTGGTAGACAAGCCGAGACCTCTGCAGTGCATGCCAGACAGAGTGTGAGTGGGCCCAGGCAGCAGAGGACAGGAGCCTGCAGACTGGGGTCCCCGGCTGCCCTGATGCCGTCACGGAGGGAGAACTGCTCCACTGCCAGGGCTTCAGGGAGGAAACCAAGGCCCAGGGAAGGGACCGCTCAGGGCCACATTACGTCTTGCTGACACACAGCCCTCACACTGAGCCCTGGCGCTCCCACCTGTGGAACGGGGACCTGACAGCTCCTCCCTCCTGGTGCAGACGGAGCTGGGCACCTCCCAGCATCACAGTCAGGACACACTGGACAGGGACCACGAGCCCCGAGGCAGGCAGAGTAGGCACAACAAAGACTGGGCTGACAGGTGAACTAGAGGGCGGCAACACCCAGCCATGCAAGAGCTAGGTTTGCGTCAGCAGAAGGCAGCATGCGGCCAATTTTTTAAAAAAGCAAAAGGAAAGAAAAGACAAGAGTGAGGTGCCTCGCCTGCAAGAGCAGGTGGGACGGTGACCCCAAGGGCTGGTGTGGGGACTGCAGGGTCAGCAGGCATGGGGAGGTACAACAGGAGCAGCTCACCCACAGGGGAGAGGCTGTAGGACTAAATGGGCGTGACTTCCACACAAGGACTCGGATGGAAACTAGTACTGAGGACCCTTCTAACTCGTCTGGGCTCTCGGCCTTCCTCAGTCATTCCCTCCCTGCAGCTCTGCTTCCCCATCCTCTGGGAGAGGAGACTACAAGACGGATGGGAGGGCGGGCGGGAGGAGCAGAGAGAACAGAGTAGCCGCTCCCACCAGCCCTGACCACCCCCACTCCCCCACTTCATGCAGCTGCTGAGCCTGCAGGATGGGAGGGACATCCAGGAGCTGGGCTCAGACAAGTCCCGAGGTGGCAGAGAAGGTTCCCAGAAGCGTCCAGGCTTGAAGGGCAGGCAGGGCTTCAGGAGCTGGGTGAGCGCAGTGAAGGCAGTGGGACAGACAAGGGCTGCTCCAGACCACACTAGGACAAGGAGCAGAGCCCAGGTGACTGTGGGGACAGTAGGGAGGGGATGCAGGCCTGAGCGAGGGGGAGGGAAGGCACTGCTGACGCTGAATCAGGAAGCACTGGCCGTGGGCCGGCCGTGCCCAGCCTACGCTGCCTCAGCTCAACAAACTCCATCCACTGCTTCCCCAGGATGGAAGCGCACTGCACAGACCAGTGCCTGAGGTGGCACCAACAGCAACAAGGGTGTCCAGACCTGGTCTTCCTGCTCTCTCTGGGAGCCCAGCGAGGGTGGGGCTGAGAGTGCACCAGGACCCTGCCCCTGGCCTGCCCTCCACCCGTCATGTCCCCACAGAAACCACCCACTCCCCTGCAGGTAGGAGCTGCCCACCCAGCACACCTGCCCCACTGAAGGTACAGCTGAGGACAAAGAGTGGGGCATCCCACGGCCACTCAGGACAGGAAATACTACATGGTTGACTAAAACCTGTCAGATTGTCTTCCCCACTATGGCGGAGAGCAGGAACAGTGGGACCTGGGACAGATGGGGGCCCTTATTAAGCCAGGTTTGATCACCAGCAAAGTAATTAGGCAAAATGGGCCAGTGGGTGCCCCCCAAATACACACCATTGTATTAGCAGGACCCGGACAGGGCCACAAACACATTCACCGAGGGAGAAGGGCTGCAGGGCCAGCTCCACCACACACCAGCCCACCACAGGACCTTCCGCAGCTCGAACCCACTCACCCGGGACCAGCCAGCCAGTGTCCCTCCCTCTGAGACGGCATTATCTGCACACACTGGGAGAAGCAGAAGCTCCTCCGTGCGCAGCATCATTTCTAAGTAACGGAACCCACTTCAGCTCAAGAAGTAAAGTTTAAGAATAAAAACAATCCACATCTCTAGAGGTGAAAACAAAGACCCAACGAATATTGTCCCCATAAGTCTGCGTTTTTAAAATAAAGATTAATATCTTCAAGCATGACACTAGCCAAAATTAAACATTGGTAAGAGCCCGAGCTGGCACAGCTGCGAGTGAACTGGTGCAAGCTTTCCGGCAGGATCCACTGAGACAGACGCACCTTCCTCTAGCTTCTGCTGGGACCTCCAGCTGAACTGTTCTCATCTCACCCACAACAGGGGAGACTGAGGCTCAGCACTGTGGGGCATCATGTCCAAGGCCATGTGGCCAGTGCGGATGGGAGCCAAGAGGTGACATCAAGCTAAGCACTCAGCTGCCTGGAGAGCACCAGCAGAGAATGCAGGTCTCCCTTCCTCCTGGTTCCCGCAGCCCACCCTCCAGACGCACCCCACAAAACTGAGCCAAGATTCTTACGTTGGCCAAAACGTTTGTGTCTTTGATAGTGAAGAGCTGACAAGTGAAAGATCCCTAAGCTAGAACTAGCCCCATCTACAATAGTCCGTTCTTACAGCACACATGGATGTCAGCTTGTGAACGCAGAAGGGAACTGTGCGCGCTGCCAGAGGCGCTCGGGACAAACTCTGAAGGGAGGACAAGAGCCCAGCCTGCCTCTGAGCTGCGGAGAGGTGAGGCCCATTCCAGAAGATCAGAATGGGGTGAGGGCACTCCTATTCCACATTCTCACAGCTCCCTGGCCTCCCTCTGCGGTGGGTGCATCCCCCCCACCCCGCTTATAGATCCAATGCCAGCAGAGCCTGGCTCAGAGGAGGCACCGATACCTGCTAACAGAGGACAGGACCATGGGTCGGATGACCCACCACTTGCCACCCCCGACCCCACGCCCCCAGTCAGTCGTTTACTGCTGCTAACCGTGCACCTGCTCGCCAGGCAAGGACTTAAGCACCTATGTGGATTAATTCATTCTCTCCTCTTCACTGTCAGAAAAGGCTCCTACTGGTCCCCCAGTGAGGCATGGAGGCTCTGAACAGTCCACACACCTGCCCAAGGCCACTAGGAGCGGAGTTGCCAGGAGGTGGACAGGTGAGGAACCAGCAAGAAGGGTGGATCCTGAGACCAAGGGCCAAGAGCCCACCTGGACAAGGGAAGAGCCAGGTGGGGGAGCAGCCTGCTGTCACAGAAACACACAGGTCAAATGCCTGACACCATACCCGGCCTTTTCAAATACACGACCCTGAGACCAACCCTTTCTGGGTGAGCAATGTTGCACAGAGAGAAGCTAAGGCCCCTGCCCACAGCCACATCACCAGGGGCAGGGCCAGGGTCCAAACCTGGGTGTTCCACCCAGAAACCCACTTCTCCTTCCCCACCCCCTACAGCAGGGCTGGGGAGTCAGGAAGACTGAGAGAAAAACAATGTTTAAATCACCCAGGAGAACTCCTTCAGGAAGGCCTGCCCAGCTCTCCCCTGCCATGCTCTCAAGCAGCCCCGGGTCGAACCTCCTCATCGCGGAGTGGAAACCACACAAGGCTCCCTCCTGACGAACACCCCCAGACCTGTCACCCAAACGCAGGGAAAGGCCTGGGAGAGCGGCTGGGACAGGAAGAGGGCGGGAGAAGCACGGATCCCAGACAAGTAATGATGGTTGTGGGAAGGGCGCCCAGGTGAGCGCTGAGCCGGGAGAGGGGACTGGGGGACCCCAGCCAGCCGGGATGGCCACAGGCAAAGCGAGCCCCCTCCCGGCCTCAGGGAGCTCACCGAAGCCGGTGAAGGCAGCTGCACCAGGAGGGGAGGGGATCTGCTGGAGGTGACGGGGCCGACGCCTGGCCTTTCCCTGCCGGTCACCTGCATCCATCCCACGCCCCCCATCCCCACCGGGAGGCGAAACCGCAGAGGACACACCCCGCGCCCCGAAGCCTGCCCCAGAGCGGGCTACCCAGCGCCCGCCCCCCACACCTCGGCCCGCCGACCCCGGGTGCCCGGTGCTGGCCGGCCTGGCCCGGCGAGGGGTCCGCTCGGCGCAGCAAGGGGGTCGGCCCGGCCCTGTAAGGGGTCGGGGTCGGGGTCGGGGGTCGGAGGTCGGTCGAGGCCCGGCTGGCCCGGCCCCTCACCTCCTTGAGCTGCTCCATCTCGCCGCGGATGGCCTCGTAGTCCACCTCGAGCTCCTCGAACTGCAGCTTGAGCTGGTGCTTCTCCTCCAGCACCGCCAGCCCGTACTCGGCCGCCTGGATCTTCTCGCGCGTGGTCTCGGCCAGCTCGTGCGACAGCCGCTTCACCTCGGCGCGCAGCCACTCAGGCTGCGCCTCCATCACCAGCCGCGCGTACTCCTCTTCCTCGGACGGGGCCGACATGGTGGCCGCGGCCCGGGTCGCGCCGCTCGCACCGAGGCTCTGGCCGGCTCCCGTCCCCGCCGCCGCCCAGCCCGACGGCGCCCGGGCCGCCGCCGCGCAGCCGCAGTGCGCTCCCTGCCGCGCGGGGCACTCTGGGGGCAGTGGTCCCGTCCGCGCGACTGCACGGCCCGCCGTGCCCCGCACGCGCCCGTGATTGGCCCGCGCCCCGCGCTGGGCGGCCCCTCCCATCGCCATCGCCTCGGCCGACGCGGCCCGGGGCATTGTGGGGGCTGTAGTCCCTCCCGCGCGCCGAACTACAAGGCCCGTGGTGCCCCGCGCCCGCCCGTCCCTGCCGTGATTGGCCGCCGTCGCAAAGCCGGAAGCAGTGGTACCTTCCGGGGCCCACGCCCCGGGCCCGCGAGGTCTGGCTGACAGTGGGTCGGCTGGACCGCTAAGGGCATACTCGGGTCTGCGCCGCGCTCCCCTCGTGGAGCTCCCGAGCGTCAGGGGGCCGGGGGCCGGCGGGGCGGGGCGGGGCGGGGCGGGGCGGGGCTGGGACTGCACGCCGACGGGGCGGGCTGCTGGCGGAGACGCGCGGCGCACTCGCGTTCCGGGGATGGGGCAGAAGCCGGCGCGCCAGGGACGATCGCCGAGGGAGGCGACCGCGCGGGGCCGGCGACCCACTCGGGACCCGCCACGCGGCCCCGCGCCGACCCCCGCAGCACGGCTCTCGCGGGGCGCAGGGTCCCCTTGCGGTGGTCGTTCCGGGCGCAGACCCCTTGAGACGAGGCAGACACCCTGCCGATCCTCAGACTTCCCCCCTTGCTGGGTTTCGTCGGCGTTTCTTGGCTAAATGAATGGCCATCCTCCTGCTTTTCTGTTCCCATCGTCCCTGCTCCACGCGCTAGCTGTGTGGTCTGGCGAAGGCTGCGTTCGTTAGCCTGCGGATCCGTGGATTCCTGTTTTACTCAGTCCGTCACTCTCCTCGTTGACTCAGATGCTCAGATGGCGGCGCGTTTAGCCGGTGGGAGCTCCTCCAAGCGGGCTCCGTGTCCTTGCAACAGGTCGCAACTTGTGAGCACTGCCTTACTTTCTAGTACCACTTGTTCCCGGATCGTCTTATACTGTCTGTATCCCAGACTTGGAATCAGCCGTTTCTCCAAGGAGCCCTGGTTCCTTTTACTGGTTTAATGTTTTATTTGTATGAGAAGAATGTGTCATAATTTTACTTGCGAAATTAAAAAATAATTTTTAGAGCATTCAGCCACAGTAGGAGTAGGACTCCCAACCAGCTCAGTTTGCCTGGGACCGTCTTGGTTTTAGCACTCAAAGTCCCAAGTTCGGAGAAACCCTCAGGCCTGGGCACGCCCTTCAGCCTCAGTGGGAGAGATGTACCGACAAGAAGGGAGAAGGAACAAGCGACCTATTGGCTATTCACGATCCCTTGAGATTCCATATGAGTTTTAAGAGGGGTTTTTCTATTTCTGCAAAAAATGCTGTTGGGAGTTTGATAGAGATTGCATTGAAGCTGTAGAATGTTTTGAGTAGTATTGTCACCTTAACAATATTGTTTTCCAGTCCGTTTACACTGATTGTCCTTCCATATTTATGTTTTCTTTAATTTCTTTAAGCAATGTTTTGCAATTTTCCCTGTACAAGTCTTTTGCCTCATGGTTAAGTTAATCCCTAACTATTTTTTCAAGTTATTGTAAATGGAATTGTTTCCTTAATTTCCTTTTCAGATTCATTGTTAGTGTATAGAAATGCAACTGATTTTTGTGTGTTGATTTTGTATCCTACGCCTTTGCTGGATAAACTCTTTATTAGCTCTAATAGGTTTTTTTGGCATTAAATCTTTAGGGTTTTCTGTGTATAAGACCATGTCATCTGTGGACAAAGATAATTTTACTTTTTCCTTTCCAATTTGGATGCCTTTTCTTTCTTTTCTTGCCTAATTCCTCTGGCTAGGACTTTCAATACTATGTTGAATAGAAGCACAAAAATGGGCATCCTCGTCTTGTTCCTGCTCTTATGGAAAAAGTTTTCAGTCTTACACCACTGAGTATGATGTTCACCATGGGTTTTCATATATGGCCTTTATCATATTGAGGAAGTTTGCTTCTATTCCTAGTTCATTGAGTGTTTTTATCATGAAAGGGCATTAAACTTTGTCAAAAGGTTTTTTGCATCAATTGAGATGATTGTATGGGTTTTTTTTACTCTTCATTCTGTTAATGTGTTGTATTACATTGGTTGATTTTTATATGTTGAACCATCCTTGCATTCTGGGAATAAATCCTGTTTGGTCATGATGTAGAATCCTTTTAATATGCAGCAGAATTTGGTTGGCTATTGTTTTATTGACGACTTTTGCATCAATATTCATAAGGGATAATTGGTCTATAAGGAGGGTATTTTTAAAGGTATATGAAAATCATCCCACTCCCCTGGTTAAGATGATGGGGCTGCATAGAACTGAACATGACACAATGTTAAGAGGGGGAGGGAACAAGGGAGAGTCCCTGTGCTTGCGACTCTGGAACCGAGCCCTGCACACTCCTGCAGAACTGGGAGGGGAGAAGTGTGATCACAGGGGTTTGAATGGTGTTGGGAGTGTGGGGAATTTTTTTCCTTGAAGATTTTTTAATAAAGGAATTATTGTTAATTTTAGGTGTGATTATGTAAGAAAATGTCTTTTTGGGTAAAAACACATCCTGAAGGACTTATAGGTGGAGGACATAATGTTTGGCATTTATTTTGAAATACTCCAGAAAAAAGGAGAGATGGGGATAATGAAACAAGCAGAAGTTGTTGATGGTAGTTGAAGCTGATTGGGGCGGGGTTGGGGGGGGGCGCACCCTACTACATTGTGCTCTTGACTTTGGAGTCTTTTGAAATTTTTTTAATAAAAATTTTCAAATGTTTTAATCTTGTAATGATATCATCTTCATAAAGCTAGAAAAGAAAAAAGAGAAATCATTTACTTGTCTGCTCTGAATGTGTCAGGCTGACATCTGAGTGCCACTTGGCTTCTAGGTGGCTGCCCCTGCTAGGGACAGAGTGCCTGACGAGTAGACATGAATTCTGACCTCATGCTTCGACCTACTTCTTATTTTAAGGGGAATCTGCTGGTATCCCATTTGTCAGTTGCTCTTACGTGCCTTTATTTTTTAAAATACTGTTATTGTTTGTAGGTAATATGCACATGTTTAAAATTTCAGTTTAAAAGAACATACAACTACACACCATCAACTTAAATAAATCAGCTAGTTGTTTTATCTGCGGAATGAGTTTATTCAGGAACAACCAAAAGAATTGCAATTCAAGATGTACAAGCTGTGGTGCACAAGTCCAGAGAAACCGAGGAAGGGGCTTGCTTTTATGGAGGAAAAGGGAGTTGACATGGGCTGTAATCAACAAAGAATCCACTGGAGGAAACTGGGAGTCCAAAGTGTGGAGGCTTCTCCTCGGTTGGGTTGCTGCAGTCTCTCATTGACTGAGTTGTTGCTGGGCCATCAGAGAAATCTTCTTTCTGCTGGGTAGTAAAGTAGAAGACACCTTCCTGTTGTAGATGCAAATGCACCTCTTTCTGGTGGAGTAATTGACGAGGTGTGATAGGGTCTGAGCACCCTCCCTCCAGGCCTTTCCCACTTCAATTTAGTTGAGATTTCCTATATTAATTTTCACAACACCTATCAGGATAGCTAAAATTAAAAAGACAAAAACCCAACAGCAGTGACAGCAACAAATGCTGACAAAGATGTTGAGAAACGAGATCACTCATACACTTTTTGGGGAAGGCAACATGGTGTAGCCACTCTGGAAAACTATTTGGCTTTTTCTTTTAAAACCAAACATGCAGGGGCAGCCTGTGGCCAAGTGGTTAACCTTGAGTGCTCCGCTGCTGCGGCCCAAGGTTTTGCCGGTTCAGATCCCAAGCACGGACATGGCACCACTCATCAAGCCATGCTGAGGTGGTGTCCCACATGCCACAACTGGAAGGAGCCACAACTAAGAATATACAACTATGTACCAGGGCAGCTTTGGGGAGAAAAAGGAAAAAAAATAAAATCTTTAAAACCAAACATGCCATCACCATCGAACTCAGCAATTTTACTCCTGGGCATTTATCTCAGAAAAATGAGAACTTGTGTTCATGTAGAAACCTGTACACAAATGTTCATAGCAGCTTTATTCATAAAACTGGCAAATTGGAAAAAAAACAAAATGCATTTCATTGGGTTAATGGTTAAACAAACTGTGGTAGACCCACACCATGAAATAGTACTCAGCAATGAAAAGAACGAACGATGGATATACACACCACCTGGGTGAATCCCCAGAGAGTCACACTGAGTGAAAAAAGCCGGTCCCCAGAGGTTACCCAGTATATGATTCCATCATGACACTCTCGGAAGGACAAAATTGCAGAGATGGAGAACACATCAGTGGTTGGGTGGGGGACGGTATAAAAGGGCAACAGGAGGGGCCCTGTGGTCACAACTGTTCTGTGTCTCGCCCTGACATGAATATACACTGGCGATGAACTTGCACTCACCACAGGGAGCACATGTAAACCTCGTGGGTTCTGAATTAGAAGGGCGGCTTGTGTCAAACCAGCTTCCCAGTCATGATACTGTACGATAGTTATGAGAAACAGAACTGAGAAAATATGGTGTGCAAAAATTTGATGAGCAAGTTTTTAACCCAAAGTGCTCATTTCCGTCAAAGAGAAAAGAAACTAATAATATTAAAATTATACGTATTTGTACACAAAAAAATACAGAGGAAAGTAAGCTCCCCCACAAGGAGATATACAAGCATATATTTTCATTTAGAAAAATGATAATGTACAGTACACACTGTTTCCCGTCAGCACATGATGTGTGACGGTATATGGTACACACTGTTTCTTGTCCAAATATAATGCGTGATGGTGTTTGTGTTTCTTATCAGCATCTATTTTTAAGGCTGCATAGTACTCCATAGTATACATATGCCATACTTCCACTCCACTGATGGACTTTTAGGTTGTTTTTGGTCTTTTACAAATACACCAGTGCAGCAATAACTGTCTTTGCCCATCATCTTCAAGGCCTGAGCTCTGTCCTTTCCCGGAAGGAGGCCGTTCAGTTAGTGAAGCTGTTGAATTAAT